TCGATATACACAGACAGGGATTATGAATAATTGCCTGGGCAGACCGCTCTTTACATTTATGAGTTATTATTTATGGTTCTGCTTTGTTTCTACCAGGCGAAGCTAGTAATTAATCCACCCAACTGTGAAGGGGGAACGAGGAGAAAAGGAAGAAGGAGACAGACACACTCGGACAGGAATAAACGGACGTTTTGATACAAACCCTAATCGACACACACTTCTTTAGCTCATTGTGCAGCATGCACTATGCAGAACGTCACAATCGTCAATGTATGACTGAATGTCTCTCTTTTCTAGCCAGTTCTATAACCTTGCGCACTTTCATAGCCAATCCATTGTAGGTGTATTCTATCCACTATTGCATAGGTCAGCCTCTGTCTCGTTTTCGGGAAACTGGACTCTTTATTCCCGTTCTCTCCAGGCCACAGTGTTGTATAATATGGCCAAAATACGTTAGCCTTTGAGCGAGGATGCTGTCTGAGCCACTTTCCCTCCATGCTCAGGTCATGTAGGATGTCGATGACGTACACAACACACAAAAGGCTGGAGTTTTGTTGTGGTGCGTGTCCATAACGGTCTCAGCCGAAATGTCAATTTTTCAACAGTGCATGGTGGTCCCTTTTCCCGTTTTTGAAGCTTCTTAATTATTTGGAAGCTGAGGAGATGTGGTTTTACAGACTTATCATGAGAATACCTTAGACAAAAAAAAAAAAAAAAAAAAGACTAATGAGGGTGTCTTGAAAGAAACTAACTCACGGAGAGAACTTTTTTGCCAACATCAGAAAGAGACTATCTACATTACTTTGTTATGTGATGAGGAGAAGAAGAACACTAGAGTACATTGTGACAGCAGGAAAGTTGCAGGGGAGGAAACGCAGAGAGAGAGAGAGGGAGAGAGAGAGAGAGAGAGAGAGAGAGAGAGAGAGAGAGAGAGAGAGAGAGAGAGCGAAAGAAATGATACTGGGAATTTCAGAACCCATAACAATACTTCGAAAACGTATCGATCACAAGCAAGATGTTCCGCGTCGGATACACCCATCTAGAGATCATCCGCGACATCCTGCACACATATTCTCTTTGGCCTTCCTCTTCCTCTCTTTCCAGGCATTTACCCCTCCATTATTGTTCGCTCTAAACTGTCGGGACTTTTAAATATGAACAGACTTCCATTTTCAGTTGTAAAATGTCCTTCGCCTCTCCAGCGATGTTCACTAATTCGTAAAATTTAAATCTTCATCCTCTCAGCCTCATCACACTCTACTTTAAGCTTTCCCTCATACAAACTTCTCACATTCCAAGTTCATATTCTCATTGTCCTTGTTAGTCTGAAACAGGGGATTTCCTTGGTAGCACAGTCAGGATTAACTCCCTCATCATGATTACTGGTACTGGTTCCTGTGTTACACTCTTCCCCAGTGTTATCTGATCCGTCTGGCTTGGGGATCTTGCCACCAGATTTCTTTCTTATGTTTTCTTTCATGGCTGTTATGGTTTCTTGACAAATTTGTGCAGAAGGCAGTTTGCCATTGCTTTCCTTCTGGGCAGTGACTGTAGTACTCAGTAGCCGTAGCTATCGACTCTATTGATGAGATCAGCTGCCTATCACCGCAGAGTGTATGCCCATAACCAACAACAATCTATCGACTGCTTTCACACTCCATCCACCACCTGCTTCTATCACATCCTTTTTAGGACGAAATTTTTTTTTATTTGAAGCCCCACTCTGGCTTTTGCCAGGGGCCGCAATATAGGCAGGTCATAAATATGGCCAATTGTCTGAACGCGGTTTCTGGGACCTCTCCACGGCGATCCTCATCAACATGGTGGCACTTTGTGTCATCGGGTGTTTATCGTTTGTGTGATGTCCTAGTGGGGTAGAAAGTCAGTCAGTCACCACCTGCTTCCATGGCTTCACGTAACCCTGGCTGGGGTGCTAAACGGGTACTCCACCTTGCCCATGTGTGTCCCGTAGACTATCGGGGGAAAGGAGGCGTCTTACATCTTCTTTGATAAGGGATACCCCTACCCCGCTATTCACACAGAAGATGGATCGCATAAATATCAGAGACACTGAAAAGTACTATACACTAAGTGAAAAGAAGGTCCATCCTGAGATCTACTCTTGTCATGGTGCTGCAAAGCATTCCAGGAGTAGAGATATGAAGAAAATGAAGCAGAAAACTTAGTATTTGCGTGCTGAACTGTTGTCAATACTGATCGCTACCACAAATGCTAGGCAGAGGACGTCTGTGTATACACAATGGCTAGGATAACACCTTTAGTAAGGTCACTGCTATATGGAAATAAAATTGCAACCTTCTGTGAGTATTTTGCAAAGAAACCAATGTCTGTACAGATGCTGAACAGTTTGACGTCACGGCATGGAGATTATCTGTGTCAGAAAATAATTAAAACTACACGAGACAGGAAGATGTGGATGGACATGACTAACAATAGGCTGGAACTATAAATGGAATAAGTGTTTGCACAGCTTTTAGGCATTGGTGACGAGGTGGCTTATTCGTCCGCCAAAGGGTGACTGCCTCGACTATGATAAAAATAGTTCGGTCATCCAAGAGTTCCTTTCAGAACTGCCTGGTGGCAAGAAGTTTTAAACCGTTACATATGGCGCGAGAAAACGCAGTCACAAAAATAACTAAAACCATATTTGATGCAGCAATCCACAACTAAGACGCAGCTTCTGCACATACATCTGGATTATTAGATATTGGTGAAAATTGGTCTGTCTTTCTACCTTCCTCCAATCCCTCTAATTAGTCTGCTACCCTAAGGTCAGACAACACAAGAGACTATGTGAATCTCATCCTGAGTGGCACACCAGTGGGATACATTCAAGATTCCCCGTTCAACCCAGAAAAAAAAGCAGACCCGTTTGGATAAAGATGACTGTACATCGACTGTGGAAAATGCAGTTTTATTATAACATCTTAGCAGCCGCAGTAGAGTAGTGGCTAGAAAAGTGTGTCCGAAAGTGGGCGGTAAATAGACAGTAACACAGACGGAAGGACGGACGGACGGACAGACAGACAGACAGACAGACAGACAGACAGACAGACAGACAGACAGACAGACAGACAGACAGACAGACAGACAGACAGACAGACAGACAGACAGACAGACAGACAGACAGACAGACAGACAGACAGACAGACAGACAGACAGACATGTATACCTGGAAGAATAGGAAGGGTTTTACCAGCAAGGCGGTGGACACAGGATATCAAAGACACCTAATGCATGAAAGTTCACAAGGCGGAAAAGTTGGCAGGGCTAAGAGTGGCTTCCAGACATGCCGTGATTAGAGCGACGTTCTGCATAGGACCCGCTCCACGATGCTGATGTTTGCAATGGGCCTCCGTGCAGCAGACATAGTGAGATGGCAAGAAAGGTTGCTACTGAGGTCTCCTTTACCGGGGAGATAACAATGTAAGCTACACCACCACAATGTTTACTCGCGGTTTCATGAATTGTATCCCTCTACATAAATTGTGATTTATCTTCGACATTACTAGTGAAAATGATGTACTGTATTTCTTCACATGCAACGTTTGTTGCGCATCAGCCCACCCACACCGGACGACAGGTTACTTCCTAACAGTTTTTTGGTGCAACAGTAGAACTGTGCAATGTGGCTTTACGGTTAAAGGAAATTGCCCGGATATGTAGCTGTTGTTTTTCATCACTGAGAAGTTAAACTTGAAAGGGGAAACGTTTTTTAAAAGCCTCAGGGAGAAGTTCTACTTCTTTAAGCTTAAAAAAAATGTCTTTTTCTTTTCCTTTTTCTTGTTGTTGATGTTCTGTCTGTTGCTGTTGTTGTTGTTGTTGTTGGTGTTGTTGTTGTTGTTGTTCTTCTTCTTCTTCTTCTTCTTTTTGTTCTTCTTCTTCTTCTTCTTCTTCTTCTTCTTCTTCTTCTTCTTCTTCTTCTTCTTCTTCTTCTTCTTCTTCTTCTTCTTCTTCTTCTTCTTCTTCTTCTTCTTCTTCTCCTTTTTCTTCTTTTTTAAATCGTTTCCTTTCTCAGTTAGATACCTTGACTATTCGAGTCATTAGTTATTCACACAAATGTGTGTTTTAGGTATTCTGCTTTTTTTTTTTTTTTTGCACTACGTGAAGAAGATATTTCCAATTAGGCTATTACCAACTTATTCATTAGTGCGTTATCTAGCCATTTGACAGACAGACAGACAGACAGACAGACAGACAGACAGACAGACAGACAGACACACAACGAAGAATGTGAAGATTAAGGTCAAAAGTTACCAACAGTTTCCTAGAGCAAAACAGATGAAATTAAAGTACAATAAGTAACTGAAAGACAAAGTAGTTTCAAATCTCGGTCAGTGCAAAATAGGAAAAATAAAACTGAACAGTTCCTCATTCTAGAAATGTCACAAAAGCATGAATGTATGTTTTATGAAACAAATAATATTCTAAAAGGAAAATTTTATTAATGTAATTAACAAAGAATACTACATAGTTTGTTACTCTGAGCCGCATCATTGCCTACCCCAGCCACATGTGTGTAATGAGAAACGGACTAAAGCGCCGTTTCTTAACAGATATTCAATCTGTATGATGTTTTGGATGACCTATTTACAAGACATAGTTTTGTACTCATTCATAAGCCGCTATAAATAGCCCATGACAAATCGCTAAATGCTATTTTTACGTCGTGTGCCTTATTTCAAAATGATGAAATAGGAAGAAAAAAAAACGAAATATGAACTGTTAGTGTTCCTTACAATTCATAGAAAAGCCAATACCCGTTATAATCTAGAGAAGGGCGAATGGTTGGTTGCTTCCCTAATATGTTGTTTTTGGTTAGTAAGCATCTATTTTAAATTGCTGACAAAGCAATGATAGGTGTCCCCTAGGTATATAAAAGGCGACAAACCAACTAGGAAAATGTATTCCAACCTGGGTGAATCAGTAGCACTAACTGAGAAACCACTTAAAGCAAACGTTTGACAAGCAGCATCATTATGTTCGACGAAGACGCCACCGCACTTGTTATCGACACTGGCTCGGGGACGTGTAAGGCAGGGTTTGCCGGCGATAATGCTCCTAGGGCCGTGTTTCCGACCATCGTTGGCAGACCACGCGATCCGGTAGAGCATGTTTATTCATTCATTTATTCATTCATTCATTCATTCATTCATTCATTCATTCATTCATTCATTTATTCATTTATGTATTATCCTGTTGTGCCATTATAAATACGGGGGTACTGAGGAAATTGGGAATGAAAAGAGAGTTGCTAGGTGAAATAAAAAAGAGACAAGTGAAATATTTTGGTCACATTAAAAGACATAACAGTATTCTAAAGATCACCCTAGAGGTAAAGGTCCAAGGTAGACGAGCAAGATGCAGACAGCGTTACAAGTGGGAAGATAACATCAAGAGATGGACTAACAGCAGTATTAGTGAGTGTACATCAAGGGCAAGAGACAGGGCTTGTTGGAGATCCATTGCAGCCAACATTCATTGTGGAGACGACACCTGATTGATTGATTGATTGTGCCATTATATGCCATATAGTTCTCGCATTCTATTCCTCCGTTCCGTTGTATCTGGTGCTGTCGGTTCAGTATACTGGATGCAGTCCAGTCCGGCACCTTTGACCTCTCCCATCAGTGTTCGCATTAGAATTTCTTTTTTTTTTTTTTTTTGGGTCGTCCTTGCCTCATTAATCTCTTTATTTCCCACTGTAGTGTCTCTGGTGATTCTCTGCTGGTTTCTTCTCAGCATGTGTCCAGATTAGCACCCTCGCCTCTGTCTTATAACTGTTGATACTAGAGGTTGCACAGGCATTTCTCTTATTTCCTCACTCGTCTTTAACTCATCCTATGATCTTCATTCTCCTCAGACATTTGCTTTCGAATGCGTTTCACTGTCCTTGCATGTCTTTTGTGGTTGTCCAACTTCCACGGGCATATGTTACAAGTGAAATAACATTAGAAACAAACATACGTGACTGACTGACTGATTTTCTACCCCACCAGAACATCACACAAGCGATAAACACCCGATGACACAAAGTGCCACCATGTGGATGAAGATCGCCGTGGAGAGGTCCCAGAAACCGCGTTCAGACAATTGGCCATATAATGGCTTGCCTATATTGCGGCCCCTGGCAAAAGCCAGGGTGATGCTTCAAATAACAAAAAATGTCGTCCTAAAAAAGGACGAAACTGGATAGACATTAACATACGAGACGTGGTGTTAAAACTATACAATTTAGAGTTCCATATTTTGTTCAGGCTTATAAAAGCTGCAAATGCTTTGCTAGTGCGGGATAAAGCTTATGTTCACTGTAATTTTCCAAAAAAAACTCGTAGGTTGTCAAATCAAAGAAAAAGAATAATAGAGGCCATACAGTGTGCCCTTGACCACTGGGACCTCAATCAGATCTTCTACGCAGGTTCAACGGGGATCTGGCAAACCAACCTTTTTGGCCAGCTGTCCATTTGTACATTTTTTTTAATTCTCGGGATGATATGGCAACCTTAGATGGTAGCCCGGATAGAACAAACTGATCGATCGATCAAAAGGTCGCAAGTGTGCCGACACAAAGAAAATATTGGGGGTAGGTAGGGGTGGGGGTGGGGGGGGAGGGTAAGGTGCAGCAAGGTTTAAAACCATTTTAATAGGGAGCGGTGTACACAGGGGCATTGAGGCTGAGGCTATAGAGCCGTCTGGCCAGCCCTGTCGCCACGGACTGTGCAGGTTAGGATATTTAATTTTGTCCCCGACAGAAAAACTACAACATCTTACTGGTTGTGAACCCGGGTCTCCCGCATGAGAGCCAGATGTTGTAACCACTCGACCAGCTGACTTGAATAAGGAAGTGTGAGGCACCTAATGATATGACGAGGGGTCTTTGTTATGTGTTTATTTTACATTTCTTAATGCTATTTTTGGTCCTAAGCTGGACGAGGCACAAATCGTTAGTTGCGTATCCTTTACAGAACGTTGCAGAACCAATCCCAACAGCCCCTGGCTGCTGTGTGGTTTTCTAGCGAATTTACGTCTAGTGGTTTGCCATTGCCACTGAACGGTCGGCTTTCTTGATACCACTGTAGAAACCAACGCAAGGAGCATGGCCCGCAGCTGGGATCAAGCCCGGCATCCCGGGATTACGAAGCTTTCGCATCGACTTAGCCACAGAGCCGACCAAGGAGTAGTTAAAATATGGGTATAAAGGATTATTACAAGTAAACATGCACTTAATTTCAAAATTGCTTGAAGCCTCTGTTGAAACTTCCTTCCCCCTTCAGGTTGAAAACCACTGGTTGAGGAAATTTAATATGCAATATGATGTGAAAATGGGTGCTTTTTATGTGTTTTTATTACATTTTTATCACACTTTGTGATATTATGTTATTGTCTACATTATGTTCCAATTCCTTGCCTCGATGTTTCAGATTTTGTTGGCCTATTTTGGTTTAAAGGACAGCTACGTCGGTGTTGAAGCCCAGTCTAAGAGGGACCTCCTGACCCTCAAGTACCCTATTGAGGAAGGCGAAGTCACCAACTGGGATGACATGGAGAAGATCTGGCATCACACTTTCTACAACGAGCTGAGAGTTGCCCCTGAAGAACATCCAGTTCTGCTGACCGAGGCTGTTCTCAGCCATAGGCCTAACAGAATAAAGACGATAGAGATCATGTTTGAGACCTTTGGCATACCTGCCATGTACACATCCATTCAAGCAGTTCTGTCTTTATACGCCTTAGGTCGCACTACAGGTGTTGTAATAGACTCAGGAATTGATTTTACTTACCATGTCCCAATCTTCGAAGGGTATGTCCTTACAGACGCCATCCCTGGATTCAGTTTGGGTGGCAGAGGCGTTACAGATTACCTAATGAGAATCCTGAGAGAACGAGGCCACAGCTTTGCGACCTCTGCTGAAAGGGAAATAGTTACAGACATCAAAGAGAAGCTCTGTTACGTCGCATTGGACTTCGAACAAGAGATGCAGACGGCCTCATCGTCTTCCATAGAAAAGAGCTATGAACTACCCGATGGTCGAGTTATCACCATTGGCAACGAACGATTTCGGTGCGCCGAAGCAATGTTCCGGCCGCCATTCCCGTATTTTCGATGGAATTCATATGGAATTCACGAGAACGCACGCAACTGTATCGGGCGTTGCTATGAGGACATTCAAAGAGACCTGTACGCCAACATCGTCTTGTCGGGCGGAAACATCATGTTCCCGGGTATGGCTGACCGAATGCAGAAGGAATTAACAGCTCCAGCTCCAGGAGCTATGCAAGTCGAGGTAATAGCCCCTCCTGAACGTAAATATTCTGTGTGGATCGGGGGTTCCATCCAGGCCTCGCTGTCCACCTTCCACCACATGTGGATAACCAAACAAGAATATGACGAATCTGGTCCCTCAATTTTTCATAGAAAGCGCATGTGCTGGTGAGGAAGATCTTATGAATAATACACTTCTAGTCTTTTATGATGAAATTTTTCGTTATTTAAAGTCCCTCTCTGGCTTTTGCTAGGAGCCGCAAAATGGACTGGCCATAAATATGGCCTAAAGGCTGAACGCCTTCGATAGTATATTTGTAAGTATTCCACCCTTCACGCGGGTGACGAGTTCGATTACCCGCTGGGTGATAATTGTTCTTTTTCCTTTAAAAGGGTGGTTTCCACGTTGTGTTGTGGTTTACATCTAAAAGCTATTCAGCGATGACAGAAACTGTCAACTAAGTCGGTTTACAGTCCAATTTAGTTTGGGTGGACACGAATGCCACGGTCAGTTAACAATCGTCCCTTCATAGAGGGAGAGATGACGGGTGCGGGGTATTTTCCCCAGCTATTTGTGAGTATAGTGTACTTTTTACTGTGGGTTCCATCACTGGTTAGATGATAAAGTTTTTTTTTTCTATGCCGGGGCAATATTAAACTAAACAGTCCGTGGCGACAGCATGCGGCGCTAACTCCGCTGGCTACACCGACCTACACAGACTGTAGTGACAGTTATTGTTGTTGTTGTGATGGTGGTGGTGGTAGTCGTAGCAGTAGTACTGGTACTGGATGGGTGATATGGTAGCTGTTACACTGGCCACATTAACTTCTCAGTACTAATAATGCTACCCTTTAGTCTGGGTGGACACGAATGCCATGCTCCATTTAGTTAAATTTTACGTCAGATAATGACTTTTCCCTCATTCGGAGAGGATGATATGATTAGTGGGGTGGGGTGGGGTGGGGGGGGGGGTGAAAGGGGGGCGGTTAAAGCCAGACACTGTTAACTGAGAGAGCATAAAACATTATTTTAAAGTTCGCATTTTTTTTTTTAATTTCGCCATGTGGTGATTTTTGAATCCTTCGGAGAGCGAGATATGATTGGGGGGAAGGGGGGGGGGGGGGTTATGTTAGACACAGTTAGCTGAGAGAGCTTAGAACAATATTTTACAGTTCTCATTCCTAACTTTTTCTATTTTAATAATTTCGCCAGGGATAATTTTTCAATCCTTCGGAGAGGGAGACATGACTGGGTCGATGGGAGAGGAGGGGGGGGGGTATGACAGACACTGTTAGCTGATAGTTTTTCTCTTTCTTTTCCATGTCATTCTTGGCCACAGCAACGCGTGGCCGGGTACAGCTAGTACAACATATACACACTCATATATATGTTTATGCATACGTATGTGGGTGCACCAAAGTATTTTTTTAAAAAAGACTTACCTGCATTCATTTTCACTTACCTTATAAGTAAATTAATGAATTAATCTCACTGGTGGTTGACGTGCTCCCAGCTACTGCAGTGTGTTTCGCCACTGAACAAGCCCAGATCAAAATGTGTGGATCTGAATTCCTTTCTACTTGAGTGTGAAAGTGCGGGAGAACTGGCGAGAGACCGAGTTTAATTCAGACAGACTGTGATGAGAGCGACGTTCTGCAAAGGACCTGCTACATGATGACGATGTATTCCTTTCTGCGTACAGTTTCACAACTTGCTGGGGTGAGCTTCATTACACGAATAAGTGCATCGCCGATAACACGTATAGTAAGTAAAAATGAACCTAACATGCAGCACAAAAAGACAAGGTAAGTTTCCTCACAACTGGGACTAAACATTATTTGTATAAGTCATTTTTCAAACAATTGGTGATGTGGTCATATTTCTCCAGGCTGCATTTACTTCCTATGACATTTCCCCGTGGCCACTGTATAATGGGTCTTCTAAGAATAATACGGAGTACACACGCACAAATAAAAACAAAATCGTATGGTCAGACGAGAACTGTATGGACAATGTTGATGACTTTCTTGATCACGGCTCCAAAAACCTTCAGCCAGATTGACTCTTTCATTTCTTTTCCTGTAAAGCTCACTTGCTTCTTACTATTGCCATTTTTTTAAAAGTAGTACATATAATTTTAATCAATTACATAATTTATATTACACCATATGTAGCACAGCTAATAAACACAAAAGCATAAGCACAGAAAGGTTATTCCTCCAACAGTGAACAAAGGGGAAATGTAACTTAATGATTTTGATTCACCTTAGGTACACAGAAGATTTCGGGTTGGAGTTTCAGTCACGTGATCATATTCACTGGTCCGAGCACAGTTCGAGTATGGCTGGACTAGTTGTACACATGATTGTGTTTGTATGTGTCTAACAGACACATGGATTATGTAATCGAGAACACCCAAAAGAAAGCTCCAGGTGAAGGTTAAAGAGGGAGCAAGGGTTTTGGACTGAATTCTATTCATAATGTTAAAAAATTTCTACAGGATATAACACAACAGAAGATTAAACTGTCAACCCTACTTGACCTATGTCGGAGTCTGTGGTTAAGGCGTTGCGAACGCGCTTCGAAATACCAGGGCGCACGATTGGATCCCAGCTGCAGACGATTTACCGTTAAGTAAGCAATGGCAAACTACTGAACGAAAAATTTGCCTAGAAACACCACAACATTCAAAAATGCTGGGGGTTTTCTGTAACATCATGTAAAGGATACGCAACTCATTAACTTGACATACAAGGACAGAACAGGATGTCGATGCTTGTGATGAAAGGAGAGATAGACATTTCTGTGTCTGCCGGATCAGTGGTCATAGATTGAACTCTCTGAGTCCTAAGCAATGCGCCACGTGTGACCTGGTATTTTGCATATGCACCCAACAACGGTCGTCGTCAGGGTGCCGGGTTCGATCCCATCTGTTGGTCTTGCGCCTAGCGTTAGTTTTAATAGTGGTATCGAAAACCTACGGTCCAGAAAGAAATGGCAAACTACTGGACGTAAATTTGCCTAGAAAAACCATAACAGCCAAAAAAAAAAAAAAATGGTTGGTTCTACAATGTGCTGTAAAAGACACGCAACCCAACAAGGAATTTCGTTTCTTGCGTTTGGTTAAATCAAACTATAGGAACCTGGCTAGTTATTCAAACAATCAGCTCAGTATGTTTGCTTCATCTATGACAGATACGCTCTTATATTTATTAGCAACTGTTCTTTGTTCTTGTTACCTTGGTGATGAACTTCTAAATATCACGGTGCTTAATGAGTTAATTCTTGGTCGCGAATTAGGCATTTTTTGTTTAATTTGTTTACACTGGTACCAGTTAAAGTTCAAGGAAGTAAAGGCGGCACAATTTTCTTTATCGCCCGATTATATTTTATTTCAATAAGACACTAAAACATAAGCTCAACTGGCTTGAAGGCGGCAAAATAGGTCCTTTTCATTCACATTTACTATATTATAGAGACTGAATAGAGAAAATGGGTGAGATAGGAGAGGGGCAAGTAAGAGAGAACGAGCGAACGAACGAACGAACAAACTTTATTTTCAAAGGGTTACAGATTGGGCACGCAGGCCTGTCTGAAATTCGGCCCTTCTAAGCACTCGTTTTTCAGAGTACCAATGACTGTTATCAATAATGCATACACACATCATGTGTACACAATCTTACACACTCAAACACACACACACACACACACGCACACACACGTATACATACTCTCACATTCTCGTATATGCACACTCCCCAAGAGAGAGAGAGAGAGAGGGAGAAATAGAGAGAGAGAGAGAGAGAGAGAGAGAGAGAGAGAGAGAGAGAGAGAGAGAGAGATCAAAATCAGGAGGATAAACTTGCATGAAGGGGGAAAAAAGACAAATACAGATCGACATACAACAGCTATACTGTAGACATGAAGAGACACAGGCGTATGTGAAAGACAAGACATAATCGACATCTATAAGACAAGCATCCTTTGTCGTCTTGAAAGTCTGTGTTGTACATCAGTCTTATTGCTGTGATGTGTACATTGCCCTTGCTCGTATCTGTTACCCCGTATGTCTCAGTGTACTAAAGTACACTTCTCTTGTATGCATTTAATATCTGAAACTATTTGTGAATGGGAACCGCTGTGGTGTAGTAATTAGACGCTTGCCTGAAGACCCGAAGGTTGTGGGTTCAGGCCCTGTCAGCGCCAGACTTTAGTTTCATTTTGAATGACCCTGGATCCCAGGTCGTCCCAGCTATAAACAGGTACTTAGTAAGTCATGGGAAGCAAAGGTGGCCAACGTGATGTTAACCACATCTTTCACCGAGTTCCGATTGGTCTACAAAATATAGGTCTAGTACTATATGCCCAATATCCCTGAAGGGGTAGGAAAAGGTCCTTTACTCACCTCTGAATATATTTTCGTTCATGTTATAAGAAGGGTCGACGTCTGTGGCTTAGGCGTTGTGAACGCGCTTCATAACGCCAGGGTGCTGGGTTCGATTGCAGATGTGGACGTTTTGTCTTGCGTTGGTTTGGATAGTGGTACTAAAAGCCGACCGTTAAGTGGAGTCGCAATCTACTGAACGTAAAATTTTGCCTAGAAAAAGAAAAACAGCCGATAATGCTGGGGTTGGTTCTGCAATGTCTTGTAAAGGATACGCAACTAGCTTATTTTAATGAGAAGGAATTAACTCTAAAATGTTGTGACAGTTGGTAAACCTAATGGAAATAGAGAAAGGGATAAAGAGGTAACAAAGAAATAAATATCTTGATGGACTGACCAAATTGATAGGATGGAACAAATGTACTGGCCTTATACGCCCTTCATGTACTTGTGATGGTGAACAAAGGCTGTCTAAACTTATCGACTGCCTAAACCTATTGACTGTCTAAACCTATGATGATGTTGATAATGACGTATCTAATTCTGCGAACTTGCACAGAAAGACTTTTTGGTTGCTTGCAATTTAACTTGCAGTTAAAATACGAGTAATATTGTCAGCAAAATTATTAAACCAGATAGTAATGATCTCACAACAACGAATAATCAGCAGCAGTAGAGTAGGATTATTATTATTATTATTATTATTATTATGGCAGAAGCATCAACAGTAGTCGTTGCTGTTGTTGTACAAGTAGTAGTAGTAGCAGCATTAATAGTAGTAGCTATT